AGCTGGATGATCAGGTGGAGCGGGAGAAGAAACGAGCGATCGCTCTAGACGTTGAGCTACAGGAACAGGTGGATTTGACGGATCGAGCGGTCCGGAGAGCAGCCGAGGCGGAGAATGAGTCGAATCAGAGGATGGCTGAGTGTTTGGAGAAGGAGACGAGGAGGTAGGTGGGGAGGGAGCCTTCCCCCCCCACTCAGGGAACGGGTGTGGAGCTTTATTAGACCTTTTTAGCTCATTTTTAGGCCATTTCGACCATTTTTAGCTCAGAAAAATGACCCGAATTTGGCTGAAAATGGTCCAAAACCCATCTTAAAACAAGGTTCTGACTTATTTAACCTCGATTTTTGAACTCTACGCCCCTTTAAACCCCCAAAAAACACTTAAAAAAGAATTTGCCACAGGTGGGAGTCGAACCAACAACCCCTAGATTCAAATTTGCCCGTCGAAAATCCCACTCGGCCATCGAGCACTTTTTTTGAGAAAGTCGATTTTAGACCATTTCCAGACTATTTTAGAGGGGTTTTTGCCATTCTGAGCGTATTCAGGCCATGTCTTCGCCATTTTAAACCATTTTAAGCTATTTAGCAATGAAAATTTGGCTGAATTTGGTCCAAAATCCTCTGTAAAACACATTTATGGCTCTTTTCAGATCAATTTTTGAGTTTCCCGCCCTTGGAAACCCGCAAAAACATTTTTAAAAAACCGAATTGCCACCGGTGGGAGTCGAACCCGCGACCTCTAGATTCAAATTTTGACGTCGAAAATCCCACTCGGCTACCCAAACACTTTTTTGGAAAAATTGATCTTAGACCATTTTTAGACGATTTTAAGCTATTTTAAGCCTATGTTAGACCAATTGAGGGCTGAAATTAGTCTGAAAATGCCCCCAAAACCTTTCTTTTGCAGAGAAGAAATCGAACAAGCTTATACCCGGCTCAACGAGTACTACAATCAACTCCAGGAGGCTTACAACACGGTGTACGCTCAATTGGCTCAATCTCAAGCTGAAACCACACCATCTGACCACCCAACAACGTCATCTGCCCATCTGACGTCTTCTGATGCTCCAGAAGAGGTGGAGCTCACCCAAGTGATCGATGGAATTCTGACGATTCTTTTGATCTCCAGAGACCCATCGATCTCACTGAACACCCGCCAAAAAATGGAGAAAATCGCTGAAAAACTGAAACAACTGCTGAGCGATTACGAAGAGAATCAGAAGGCGTTGGAGGAGCAGAGAAGGATTACTGTAGCACTGGAGGCACGTCTTCAAACACTCGAAACGGCGTCAGGGTCTCCAGAAGTGGCAACGACGACACGACAGAGAGTGGAGGAGTTGGAAGGAGAGATTGAGTGGAAAGAGGAGGAGTGTGAGGCACTGAAGAGGAGGATTCGAGATCTGGAGAAGGCGTTGGAGGCGGTGGCGGAAAGAGCAGCTGACGAGACGGAAGGTAAGGGATGGGATAAGGCTCGTATCATATCATGAGGGAGATGGGAAGAAGGTGGAGAGGGAGAAAAGAATTTTCGGAGAGCTAAAATCCTTGTTCTAGAACGTTCTAGAGGGTTTTAACTGCTTCTGGATGATTATGGAAGCTTTGTGAACCGTTTTTACAACTTCCAGAGTCATATGAAGCTATCAGATAGTCCTAGAAAGTTCGAGAATGTTCTAGAAGGGTCTAGAAGTTCCTTGATTCGTTATGGTCACTTTTAGAGGCACCCGGAGCTATGTTAGATGATTCTAGTAGGTTCCAACAATTTCTGAATGGTTCTGAAAGTTTCTCGAAAAGGTTCCAGATCGTTCTGGAAGGTTCCCAGCTGCTTATGAGCGGTTCTGTATTGTTTTCGACAGTTCCAGATGTTTTTTTTTTTTGAATGATTCTAGAAAGTTCTAGAAGGTTCTAGACGCCTCAAGAACAGACTCTGAGGTTCTAGAACCTTCTGGATGCCATCTCTCACCCTCTCTCTCTCTCTCTCTCCCTTCGCCGTCCTCTTCAAATTTATAATGAAAAATACGAAACCCACTGCTGCTCTGCTGCATGCCCTCTCACCACACTGCGTTCTCTTCTATGATACTTGACGAGTTTGTGCACAATTAGTCTCTGATCCTCTTCTACCTCTGTCCTTCCCAATTCCCATGTATCTACTTTGACCGTAAAACCTGTATTAGGAGGGCCCTACTAGCCCTTCTAATACAGGTTTTACGGTACTTCGCCTTTGTCTCTTCCACTATGCTTAACTTGCTTGATTGCCAAGAAAAAAAGTCCCAAAAATGAGAACTTCTAGTTTGAAAAAAAGTTCTCAAACTTTGAGCTTCATTATCTTGGTAACTGTAAGAGATATCAAAAATTTGTCAACTGATAAAAGGCTTGTCATAATATCAGCTACATTTTATCAGTTGACACATTTTCGTTATCTTTTATGGGAGCCGAGATAATTGAGATCAAAGTTTGGCATATCCAAAAAAAAGAGCACCGCTTCAAAGCCTTAGCCACCAACTGCATTTAGGTTCATATCTTTTGAAGTAGACGTCTACTGTACACCACAGGGCGCTGTCCTATGTTACTGTAGTATTATACACGATCAAATTCACACGGCCCCGTTTTTAGATTAGCTTTAGAAATGAGAAATAATCTCGGCTAGTGGCCCTTAATCATACCAAGTGTCCCCTCCCACTTGTCTTCTGAATTCCTTGGTTTCTTGTTCCTGTCTATTCGTTTAAGTTTCACTTCCATCCTTTGGTACTAATCACTGTGTTCTTTTCCTCTACCGTAATCCAATTGGTGTTGTTGTCTCTCTGTCGGTTCGATTTTTCTGTCACTTATCTTCTGATGTGATGTGGATTACTTTCTTTTCTCATAGATCCTATTAGAAGGCGGCCGGCCGTGATGCTTTGGAAAGTTCCAATCCTCGTCTGTGGATATCTAGAAGGTTCTGTGGCCTTGGAAGCTTCGGTGGACCTCTAGAAGGTTCTGAGGGATCCTAGACCATACTAACGTTCTTAGAGCTTCCAGAAGCATCAACTGATCTTCGAGTTGATCTAGAAGGTTCTGGAGCTTTCTAGAAGCATCACTATCATCTTGAATACCCTACCATCGTGATCATATCTTGTTGTTAGTGGGTACTCCGACTACCGTAGTACCCTTTGTCTATCCTAGATGTTCTCTTACTATCTACACTTCCCCTGAGCAAGTAAGACTGTCCGAGTTTGAGACCCTTGGGTTCTTTAGGCTCGCTGAACATCTCCTAGGACATGCTCAGCCACCCAAAAAAACCTAGAAGCTCAAATGTGGACAGTCGTACCTTTATCACTATCATCTATCAGTAGAATCGTGTTGCTTTCTTCTCCCCTTGTCGTCTCCAAAATGCATTAGGTGGCTGGCTTTGCAGCGGCCGCTGTGAGTCGCCTCTCGACGGAACTCGCCATTTTAGCCGCCCGTCTGACGACACGACAAGCCGACGTCGACTCGCTGTTCCGAACCAATGCAGAGCTGGCTCATACGAACGTCCGATTGCAGAATGAGGTGGATGAGATGGAAGAGGTGAAGTCGAGGATGATGGAGGTAAGCAGATCTATATGCCGTCTTCTGGCAAACGGACCAGCGATGGACCAAACCATACCAGCCCATTTCAAGCCCATTTTAAGCCTATTTCAAGCCCGTTTTGAGCCTTTTTAAGCAGGGAAATGGGCAAATTTTGTCTGAAATTCTCTAAAAACCATTTTCTGCACTTTCTCATGCCGATATTTGAATTTCCCGCCCTTGAAAACCCCGAAAAACACTTTTAAAAAGAAATTGCCACCGGTGGGTTTCGAACCCCCGACCTCTAGGTACAAATGCTTCCGTCGAAAATCCCACTAGACCATCCGAGCAATTTTTTGAAAAAGTCATTTTTGAGCATTTTAAGCCATTTTAAGCCCATTTTGAGCCTATTTTTGGCCTTTTTTGAGCCTATTTTTGTTATCTAAGGGTTTGGTCCGTCGTGAGCCCGCCGTTGGTCCGTTTAAAGCAAAAATAGTCCCATTTTCAGGAAAAAGAGCAGTTGGAGCAGCATGTGAAAGAGCTCGAGGAGCAAGTTGCCGACCTCATGGAGCAGCATGAGGTGAGCACTTTTCTGAAAATCTAGAATTTTCGACAAAATCTGAAACTTCCAGACGCATCTCCAACAATCGGCACTTCTCCAATCGACGACGCCGATTTTGACGACGTCATCAGTTTCACCGAATCCAGATTCAGAACGCGCCGCCCAGAAGCTAGAAGAATCTGAAAAAGAGATTCAGCGTCTTGCTGGAATTGAGAAGACGTTGAATAATCGGATTCTGGCCCTGGAAGATCAGAATCTAGAGCTGGAGGAGAAGGTTCAAGAGATTGAGGACGAGATGATGACGGTGAAGGCGGAAATGGCGGAAATTGAAAAAGCTGAGCAATCGGAGAAGAAGGCTGAGCAATGGGACGATTGGGGAGAGGAGAAGGAGGAGAATGAGCCGACCCCAGAGCTTCAGGAAGCGCAATCTGAAGTTGGACGTCTTCTGGAGGTTGAGAAGGCGTTGACGATGAGGCTGGAGATGCTCCAGATGCACAATAAACAATTGGAGGGGAGATTGAAGGAGTTGGAAGTGGTGAGGATTAGAAAAGCTCTGAAAATCGGCTTAAAAATGACAGTTTTCTGTCTGTCGGTGTGTCCAGATGTCTTTGGGCATCCAAAAAATTGATTTTTGAGCTGTAAATGGGTCTTAAAAGCTAATTTTTGCCCTGAAAATGACATTTTCTGTCCGTCTGTCTGTCCAGATGTCCTAGAATTTTTTTGACGTTCTTATTTTTGCAGAGCAAGGCTACAGTAACCCAGATAGACCCACCGAAACAAACAGAGGAAGCGCCCCAAACACAGAAGCAGGATGATGAATGGGGATGGGGAGAGGATGATAATGAACAGGTGATGAGCATTTTCAGAGCACGTTTGGAGGTTTTTGGCTGAAAATAGACCCGATTTTAGGCTAAAAATGAGTGATTTATGGTCTAAAATCAATTTTCTGAACACTTTCACTGCGATTTTTGAATTTGCCGCCCTCGAAAACCCCCAGAAACGTTTTTAAAAAACAATTTGCTACCGGTGGGAGTCGAACCCGCGACCTCTAGATCCAAATTTGCTCGTCGAAAATCCCACTCGGCCATCCGAGCACCTTTTTGGAAAATTGTCAGAAAGTCGATTTTAGGCCATTTCAGACCATTTTGAGATGTTTTATGCCCATTTTGAGCGTATTCAGACTGTTCTTTGGCCATTTTAGACCATTTTTAGCTGAAAATTTGGCTGAAAATGATCCAAAACCTTCCAAAATCGCATTTCTGTACATTTTCATTGCGATTTTTGAACTCCTCGCTCCTGAAAACCACCAATACCATTTAAAAAACAAATTGCCACCGATGGGGTTCGAACCAACAACCCCTAGATTCAAATTTATCGTGGAAAATCCCACTCGGCCATCCGAACACCTTTTTGGAAAATTGTCAGAAAGTCGATTTTAGGCCATTTTTAGGCGTTTTTGGACTATTTTAAGCCTATTATGGGCTGTTTTTGCGACTATTAGACCACTTTGAGACCTGAAGATGTACGATTTTTGTTTTTCCAGCCATCTCAACCATCGTCCACGCCCCTCCAGAATCCATCAGAATTGGAGAACGCAAAATCAGAAGTCACCCGACTCGCTCAAATCGAAAAAATCCTGAACAATCGAATTTTGGCTCTAGAAGACCAGAATCTGGAGCTTGAGGAACGTCTTCAGGAGTTGGAAGACGAGCTGGCGGAGGAGAAGAAAAAGAAGGGGGCGGAGCTTGAGGAGGCGAAGCCAGAAAAACCAAAAGAAGAAGAAGACAATTGGGACGATTGGGGAGAGGAATCTGAGGGCCAGAAGAAGAAGGCGGAGGATGGCGTCACGTCTTCTGAACTGCTCCAGAAGACAATTGAAGAGCTCCAGAAGCGCGTGGACTTCCAGAAAGAAGTGATTCAGAAGGCCGAAGCGGAGCTGATCGAGATTCAGGATAAGGTACGGGGAAATAGGCTTGAAGTAGGCTGAATCTAGTCCCAAATAAGCCGAAAATGACCCAAAAAAGACGAAAAATGTCCGAAAATGGTCAAGAAATCGATTTTGAGCCAGAAAATTGTCTAAATTGGCTTGAAATTGGCCTAAAATAGTCGAAAATGACCTAAAATCAACTTTCCCGAAAAAGTGCTCGAATGGCCGAGTGGGATTTTCGACGAAAAAATTTGGTGGCGGGTTCGAACCCCACCGGTGGCAAATTCTTTTTTTTTTGTTTTTTTTAAATCTTTTTGAGGTTTTCAAGAGCGGCAAATTCAAAAATTGACAAGAAAATGTTTGGAAAATCGATTTTAGACCATTTTCAGCCGATTTTTTGCTTATTTTGAGCTAAAACTAGGCCCAAATTAGGCTTTTTGGACCGAAAATAGGCTAAAAATCGCTCATTTTTCAGTACGACGAGCTGGACGAAGCCTATCAGCAATCTCAAAATGCACAAAATCCAAATGAGCAGTTGCTCGCCGAGCTGGAATCGCTGAAAATGCAATTGGAGCAGTCCCATGCGGAAAAACAAGAAATGAAGCTGAAATTGGAGACGATCGAGGCGGAGAAGAGAGAGCTGGAGACGCAGATTGCGGAGATTCAGAAGGCGTTGGATCAGAAGACGTCGGAGATTCAGAAGACGTCCGAGAATGATGATGATGGCTGGGGAGACGAAGGATGGGGAGAGAGTGATAATGAGGAGACGAAGAAGGATAATGATAAGGAGGTGAGTGGGATTCTGGGAATTCTGGAAATTCTGAATTCAGATGACGTCAAAAAAATCTTCTGAAAAATGAGCAATTTTAAGCCTAGAAATTGCATTTTTGCCCTAAAATTCTGAAATTTTCAGCTCGCCGAACTTCGCCACGCCCACGACCAGCTTGTCTCCAGAATCCAAATTCTGGAATCTGAAAATTCCAGAATCCAAGCAGAAACTTCCCAAAAAATCGATTTCCTGGAATCAGAAAAGACGAAAATCGAACAAGAACTGGACCAGACGATTCAGGAACTGGACGACGTCAAACAGGAGCTGATTCAGAAGGAGAAGGAGATTCAGAAGACGTCGGAAGAAGCCACGTGGAACGACGATGCCTGGAACGATGATGGAGAGATTGAGCGAATGCGAGAGACGCAAAAGATGATGGAAATGCGAGTGGAAGCGTTGCAAGACGAGCTGAAAAACGTTAAGGAACGGGAGATTGAGGTGGGATTTTTGGCTGAAAATTAGGCCTAAAGTGGACCTGAAATCAGGCTCGAAATGGGCTTAAAATAAGCTCAAAATAGACTTCAAAATATGCTTAAAATAGGCTTAGGATGGGCTCAAAAATAGGCCTTAAATTAGGCTTAAAATGGGCTTTGAAATAGGCCTGAAAATAGCCCTGAAAATAGGCTTAAAATGGACTAGAAAATAGGCTTGAAATAGATTTCAAAATAGGCCTTAAATTAGGCTTAAAATAAGCCTAAAATAAGCTCAAAGCAGGCTTGAAAACTGGCCTGAAATTAGGCATAAAATAAGCTTGAATAGACTTCAAATAGGCCTTGAATTAGGCTTGAAAATAGACCTAAAAATAGGCTCAAATTAGGCCTAAAAAGCCGGGCTTACCTGTCTGACAGTGACCGACTTTTCAGCTTTTTTTTTTTTTGGCTGGAAATCAGTGATTTATGTCTAAAAATGAGCAATTTCAGTCACTGAAAATGAGCCATTCTAGTCATTCTAGCTGAAAATGAGCAATTCTAGCCTAAAAATCACCAAAATTCAGCCTAAATGTAAGCCAATTTTAGGCTAGAATTGGCTGAAAATAAGCGATTTCAGCTCGGAATTTTTTTTGGCTGAAAATTAGCGATTTCAGTCAAGTTTGAAAACCTGAAATTGCAAAAAAATAAAACGAGAAAACACAAATTTTCAGGTGAAGATTAGATTTATTAGGGAACATTAATGGGGGAAAATTGTTCAAGAAAAACGGGGAAAATGGGGGAATAAGGAGCTTTCCAGGAGCCCTAGAAGCTCTAGAAGCAGGAATAGGAACAGGGAAAAAAGGGAAAAGGGCTCCAGAAGCTCTAAGAGCCTCTCTAACGCTTTCCATCGGATGTGGATGGTCCCTCGACGAGTTGTCTCTCCGCCTCCTCTTTAGCCTCTCTCTCCAACCTCTCCTTCAACTCCTGCTCGGCAATCGCATCCTCCTCATCAGTCGGAATCTCGAAAAGCACTCTCAACTCCTCTGGAGTCTTTCCCTGAGCCATTATGGCGATCTTCTTGCAGCAATAACGGAGCAACTGCTTGGACTCCAGGTAGTTGGCAGCAGCGTCAACGCCTCCAGCTCCTTGTCCTCCAACTCCTTCAAAAAGTTCATGTCCCACTCTGGAATGTTGGTCTGGCGTGGGAAGCCTTCGTTCTTCTCCTCCGGGAACTCCTCGCCACGATGATGCTCACACCAGGCGACGACACGTTTCAAGGTGACGCCTGTGATGTTGTCGATTGGCATCACGTTTTTGGCGGCTTTCTCGGCGTCGTAGCCAAGTCCAGAGACCAGGTTGTTGATGGTGACGAGTTGTGGAACGGCCAGGTCGCTTATCTTGACGGTTTCCTTATCGAAGCTTTCGAGGAAGAAGTAGAAGGATGGCTCGGGCTTTGGTGCAGGCAGGGTTGGAGCTTGGGCGGGTTGGGCGGCGGCTGGGGCTGGTCCTGCTTGTTGATCGGCCATGGTTGATTGATTGATTGCTTTGAGGATGTGGTGTTCTGGAAAATCGATAATATGAGGTTAGAGTCTTTAGAGCGGTTTAAGAGCGGATAGAGAGCGATTTGAGGTAGCTAGAGACAGCTTAGGACGATCTAGAATGGTCAAGGACAAGATTGGATGGTCCAGGACGGCCTGAGACAGTCTTAGACAGTCTGGGATAGCTGAAACAGCTCTAGGTAGTTCTGGATAGCTCTAGATGGCTTTAGGTGGCTTTAGATGGCTCTAGACAGTCTGAAACGGTCTAAGACAGATCGAAACGGTCGGAGCTGGTCTATGAACGGTTTGAGACACATTAGGACGGTCTAGTGTGGTCGAAAATGGTTTAAGGTAGGTTAAGACGATCTAAAACGGGTCTGAGATAGCTCCAGACAGTCTAAAATGGCTTGAGCCTATCTGAGAAGGTTCCAGACAGCTAGAACCATTCTCAAAAGGTCTAAAACAGCCTAAGACACATCTAGACAGTCTGGGATGGTTTACGACATCACAAGACCATCTAAAGCAGTTTAGGACGACCTAAGACAGCCTAAGACTATCTGGACGGGTTTCAGACAGCCAGAACCATTCCTCAGACAGTCGGAGACAACCTGAGATGGTCCAAGAAGGTTCAATCCAGCTAAGATAGACGGGAAAATCAATTGAAAACCAGAAAAGGAAGATGATGCCAATGGATGCACAAGTTGGCGGGAAGAGGGATTACGGTAGTCTTCTGGGAAAGCAATGGCCTGGGATAAGGCTTCCATTCGGTCGGGAAATTTAGCCGACCGACCGACCACTGACCCAGCCGACCGACAACCGACCGAGCTGACCGATCGGTCGGNGCGCCGACCGTTTTCGTGCATTTGCGCATCAACGTGTTTGCACACTCTACATTGTATTTTACGACAAACTACCCACTAAATGCCTCGTTTTTCGTAAAATAAGTGCTTCGTACGCAAAAATTCGTGTTTTGATGCGCAAAGGAACGAAATCGTTCGGCGCGCCGACCGATCGGTTAGCTCGGTCGGCTGTCGGTCGGTGGTCGGCGATTTTCGACCGACCGAAATGGTAGCCTTAGCCTGGGAGTGTCCGAGAGACAGCAAGAAGTTCAGGGAGTACGGTAGGTTTCTGGGAAAATCGATTAGGCTGTTTACACACACACACACACACACACACACTTTTAGGCTGAAAAATTGGGAAAATTCAAATTTCAGCTCTCCGATCAAAACGCGTCGCTTCAATCCCAACTGAAATCAATCCAAACCGAGCTAGAAGCCACCCAGCAACGTCTTCAAGAAGCAGAATCGGCGTCTTCATGGAACGACGACGGTGACAACTGGAATCAAACAGATTCAGAAGACGTTGCTCTTCGAAAAGAGCTCGAAACAGAAATCTGCAAGCGGAACGCAACGATCGAAGAGCTTCAACGTCACGTGGAACGTCTTCAGAAGGCGTTGAACGAGGCATCTGAATCGGCGGATATGAAGGCGTTGGAGGAGATGGAAGAGATGAAACATCAACTGACGATGGTCATGGAGCAGAATAGTTTGTTGAAGGATTCAGAAGCCAGACTGATGGACCACGCTGATGAGTACGCTGAACAAATGGAACGTCATCGGGAGAGGTGTGTGGAGTTACAAGTCAAAGTGACAGAGCTGGAAGAGAAGCTGAGAGCTGAGCAATTGGAGAAGAAGGCGGCGTCTAGAAGTGTCGAGGAGTTTTCAGTGTTGAGGTGAGCTGCTGAAATTGGCCGTGAAAAAATCTAGAATTCCCACGAAAATTCGATGAAATTGGTTCTAAAACGTCGTGGTTCTGAAGCGTCGTGGTTCTGGAACGTCGCACATAAAAATTAAACTTCAGCACGCTGAGGGCTTCAAAATGAGCCCAAACACGCCGCGATTCGGTGAGATTCGAAATTTCGGGTGCGTCGCGGTCGTGCGTCGCGTGTTTTGGAAAAATCGAAATCAACCGATTAATGGCGTGTTTTGGCTCATTTTGAAGCTAACAAGCTCAAAAGTCTGAAAATTTCGGGTTTAGCGTTCTAAAACGTCGTGGTTCTGAAATGTCGTGGTTCTGAAACGTTGCGGTTCTAGACCGTCCTAAGTCTGAAATGCCATTTTTCAAGAGCGTCTAGTTGTAGAACCACGACGTTTCAAAATTATGACGTTTCAGAACCACGACGTTTCAGAACCGCGACACTTCAGAACCATCACGTTTCAGGCCGTTGAATTTTGAGAACCATGACGATTCAGAACAGTGGCGCTTCAATACTACGCCGTTTTGAAACCGCGACATTTCAGAACCGCGAGGACTTAGAACTGGGACGTTTCAGAACCACGACGTTCTAGAAGTGATCATTTCACAACGGTTGCGTCGTGGTTTTACAATGTCGCGGTTCTAAAACGTCGTAGTTCTGAAACGTCGCGGTTCTGAAACGTCGCGGTTCTGAAAGGTCGTGGTATAACATCATGGTTCTAAAACGTCGCAGTTCTAGAACAGCAACGTTTCAGAACCGCGACATTGTAGAACCACGACGCAACCGTTGTGAAATGATCAGTTTTAGAACGTCGCGGTTCTGAAAAGTCGTGGTACTAAAAGTCATAGTTCTGAAACGTCCGAGTTCTAAGACCTCGCAGTTCTAGAATGTCGCGGTTTCAAAACGGCATTGAAACGCCACTGTTCTGAAACGTCGTAGTTCTAGAACAGCAACGTTTCAGTTTCAGAACCGCTTGCGAAATGATGAGTTCTGAAACGTCCGGGTTAGAAAATTTTGAGAAATTTTTTCGAAAATCGTCTGAATTCTGCCGATTGCTCATGCTTAAATTCATTCCAGACAACAGCTCTCCACTGCTGAATCCTCGCTCCACCGTACTCAATCTCAACTATCGGATCGCGAGGGAACCATCGCTGAGCTCACGAAAAAGCTCGCCGAGCACACGAAAACCATCGAAGAGCTCCAGATGAAGCTGAAGACGTTGGCAGCGTCCAGGCGACAAATCACGTCATCTCAGAATCCTCTGACGCCTTCTAGACCATCGTCGCGGCTATCGACGTCTTCTAGAATTTCCACAACGTCATCGTCATTTGTTCCAGAAGCCATTTCGAATCCACTCCAGACTTCTGGAAGCGCATTTGACGTCGTCGTGCCACAGGTGAGAGGGATTCTGAAAAAAATTTGAAATTCTGGAGAATTCAGAAGACGTGAAAAAAATTGTGAAAAAAATTTTCTGAGATTCTCGAAATTCCAGAAGACGTGAAAAAAAATTTTTCAAAAAAACAATTTTTTTACGAAATTCTGGAGAATTCAGAAGACGTGAAAAAAATTTTTCGTAATGAAACTTTTTGAAATTCTGAATTTCAGAATATGCTGAAAATCATTATTCTGAAAATGGATGAAGACATTGGGCAGATACAGAATACCATAGCTAGAATACGAGAAGACGTCGTCACGTCATCTGAGAATTCTGAAAAATATTCTGAGAAGGCGTCAGAAGTGTGAAGAATCCTGTAGCTGTGTAGCTGTTTTTGAGGTTTTTGAAAAAATTCTGATTTTTGGCTTGATTCGGGTGGTGGATTTCTGAATTCTGACGTCTTCTGGATTTCAGATGACGTCAAAAAAGTTTTTTTTTCCAAATTCAGATTTTTTAAATCCTGGAGACGTTAGAATGCTGTAGACATAAAAAAGTGTGAATCTATAGACTTTTTGATTTTTGACGTCATCTGAATTTCTGAATTCCAGATGACGTCAAAAAACTTTTCTTTTTCGAAAAAATTTGTAATCATAAATTCTGAATTTATAGACTTTATAGTTTTTAGAACTCTGACGTCTTCTGAATTCAGATGACGTCAAAAAAAATTTTTTTTGAAAATTTGCGATTTATGGGATTTTGGAATCCTGCAGACGTTGGAAATCTGTAACCATTTAAGACTTTTTATTGACTTTTCGATTTTTGACATCATCTGAAATTCTGACTTCAGATGACGTCAAAATTTTTTTTTTAATTTTGAATTTTCGGATTTTTGAAAAGTTAACATTTTTGGGTTACTGTAAACATTGCAAATTCCGAAATTTTCGACTTTTCAATTTTTGACGTCATCTGAAATTCTGAATTCAGATTACGTCAAAACATTTTTTTTGAAAATTTCCGAAAATTGGGAATTTTGGGATTTTGGAGACGTCAGAACTCGAAATTTCACATTTCTTCAATTTAAAAAAATTTTCGAAAAATTTCTGATTTCCTGATTCTTCACGTCTTCTGATTTTCTGAAAAAATCAGAATTTCAAACAAATTCCTTTGAAAATCCCAATTTATCGATTTTTCAATTTTGCAGAGTGGCGAACCCCTTCGTCGCCGTAACAAGTAATCCAATATCAACGACTTCAGGCTCCAGATGCCTTCAGAATCTCTAATTATCGATTTTTTCGAAAATTCAGATTTCTGAAAAAAAAATCGATTTTTTGCCCCGTTTTTTCTGGTCATATTATTTATTGGTGTTTTTTTTTTCTATTGTAATTTTTTTCTAGAAAATTCTATGTTCCTTTAAAGTGCCTTTTTCTTCTATTCTCTACAGTAATTTTCTACAGTAATCCCCAATTTTTTTTGCCGCCCTGTGAAGCTCTTTTTTCAAATTTCTGAGGGTTGTTTTTTATGATTTTTATGTGTTATTAGGGTCCAAAAATTCCTACCAAAAACTGAAATGTATAGAGATTATAACGGAATAAATCTGTTTGTCCGGATGTCCGGATGTCCAAAAAATTTTCGAATTTTCAAAAAATCATTTTCCACGGGAACTACACAACTTTTTAGCCCAATTTTGTGGATTTTTGGCACTTAAAAAGGCGCCTTGGTCCCCCCCCCCCCAATTTTTTGCCAAAAGAGCAGAAATTTAATTGTTTGGGATTTTCAGAAAATATTCTGGAAAACGTATCGATTTATCGATTTTTTCTTGGCGTTTGTTGACTGGTGGAAATGGCGAAATTAATGGAAAAACAACAACGATGGCCAGCTGGTTCGGAGGATGAAGTAAGGAATTATTAAGGATGAGCAATCGAATGGGGGAATTTTTGATTTTGGAGCTTTTTTGAACGATTTTGGCTAATTTTCGGGCTATCTTAGGCTTTTCTAGGCTTCATTTGGCCTATTTTTTCTCTTCATATCTCGCGAACCGTCACAGCTATGAAATATTTGTTAACTGCATAATTGCTCAGAATAAGTTTTCACACATTTTCGTAGTTGGAAAAATTTGCGTAGCTAATACGGTTGCCGAGATATGCGCCTTTTAAAGTTTCGAGGAAACGCAGAGAAGCGAGAGCGCTCTCGCTGTTAAGAACGCCGACGACGCCGCCGAGACATCTGGAAATTGGAAAAAAAATGAGTCAAAATGGTCCAAAGTTGTACAGAAATGGTCAAAAAAGACCGAAATTCGGCAATTTCAAATTTTTAACTTCTGTGGTGATGAGCAATGCAATCATCACCGATTCCACCGAGTACGACGCCGTTATGAACATTGTCATGGTGGCTGCAGAGAGAGTCTGAAAAAAATCAAATTATCTCAAAAACTAGCAAAGATAGTAAAAAAGTGACAACTATAAAATTGCTCAGCATACAATTTCACACATTTATCTAGTAAACAAAATTACCGTAGCTATTACGGTTTTTGAGATATGCGCCTTTAAAGTCGGCGCGCCGCGGAGACGATCACTCTCGCTTCTCTGCGTCTCCCCAAAACTTTAAACGCGTATATCTCGCGAACCTTAATAGCTATCAAAAAACTTTCAACTACAAAATTGCTCAGCATAAACTTTTGCACAATTTTCCAGTTGAAAGTTTTTTTCTAGCTACTGTAGTTCTCGAGATATGCGCCTTTAAAGTTTCAAGAAGACGCAGAGAAACGAGAGCAGTCGCGCTTCTCTGCCTCTTTAAACGCGTATATTTCGCGAATCGGTATAGCTATCAAAAAGTTGCCAGCTGCAAAATGGCTCAGCATAAGATTTTACATAGTTTTCTAGTTGAACGTTTACCCATAGCTATTACGGTTCAAGAGATATGCGCCTTTAAAGTCGGCGCGCCGCGGAGACGGAGAGAAACGATATCACTCTCGCTTCTCTGCGTCTCCTCAAAGCTTTGAACGCGTATATCTCGCGAATCGTGATAGCTATGGAAACATGTTCAGCTACAAAATTGCTCATCATTAAAATTTCACATATTTTGGTGTATAAACCATTTTTCTAGCATTTTTTGAATTTGAGAAATTTGAATCTTAAAAAATTTCGCTATTTTTTTTCAAGATTTTATATCTCAAGTTCTAAAAATGCTGAAAAGACAGTTTTAATGTCAAACTGTGTGAATATTTAAACCCTTTATTTTCGTAGTTTGTAGTTATTTGATAGCAGCTATGATTCTTGAGATAGAGACGCAGACATCTAGGCTGTCTCGCTCTAACTTCAAACACTCATATCTCTCGAATCATCATAGCTATTAAAACACTTTCATCTGCAAAATTGCTCAGCATAAAATTTTGCACACATTTCTAGTTCACAGTTTCTTTCTAGCTACTGTAGTTCTCGAGATTTGCGCCTTTAAAGCCGACGGCCTCCTGGCCGCAAGAAGACGTAGAGAAGTGTGAGCGCTCTCGTGGTCTGCGTCTCCTCGTAATTTCAAGCGGGTATATCTCGCAAACCGTAAAAGCTATCAAAAAACTTTCAACAACAAAAATGTCTAAAATTTTATGGTGAGCAATTTCGCAGTTGACCAAATTTTTCTAGCTCCTCTAGTTTTTCTGAAAATTCTAAAAAAACTAAAGTTCGACCTATTTTCAGCCCGAAAACGGAAACGACGAGGATGACGAGGAAGCTCCGCCTCTAGAGTCACGGACCCCAAAACGTTTGATTTTTGAGTAATCTACAGTAACCCAAAACTACCAAAAAATTCAAATTTTTCAGTGATCGAAGTGTTCGAGCTGGATTCATCAAGCGCGTTTTTGCCCTAGTGACTTTGATGGTAAACGAGGGCGGAGTCTGAAGGGGGCGTGGCCTAATTCAAATTTCAATTTTGCAGTTCGCCATCACGGCTGGCTTCTCGTCGGCTCCAATTTTCAGTAAAAAGTTCAAAGATTGGTGTAATGAGTACTGGTGGGGAGTCTACGTGGCAATGTAGGTGGACATCTGGATATTTGGACACACAGATTTTTTTCAGGGGCGTCTTTTTCATCTTCTATATCACACTGATGTGTTGTCAGGGAGTCCGTAGATGTTTCCCGTGCAATTTGGTCATTTTGACACTTTTTGTGAGTTTTTTGGGTTATTCAAAATTTTCGAAAAAAATAGGAGAGCTAGAGAAATTTGTTCAACTGCAAAATTGCTCAGCATAAAATTTTACACATTTTTGTGGTTTATAGTTTTTTGATAGCTATTATGGTTCGCAAGATATACGCGTTTAAAGTTTCGAGGAGACGCAGAGAAACGAGAGGGGTCTTGTTTCTCGGCGTCTCCGCGGCGCTTCGACTTTAAAGGCGCATATCTCGAGAACCGTAGCAGTTACGAAAGTTTTTTCAACTAGAAAATTGTGTGAAATTTTATGCTGAGCAATTTTGTGGTAAAAAGTTTTTTGATAGCTATGATGGTTCGTGAGATAATTGCGTTTAAAGTTTTAGCAAGCTGAAAAGCGAGACACCCTAGATGTCTGCGTCTCTATCTCAAGAATCATAGCTGCTATCAAATAACCACAAACTACAAAAACTAAGCCTTCCAAATTTCGCGCATTTTGACATAAGAATTGTCTTTCCAGCATTTTTAGAATTTGAGATTAAAAAACTTGAAAAAAACATAGAAACATTTTTTTTTCCAAATTTTCATAAAATTCAAAAAATGTTAGAAAACGTTTTATATATCAAAATGTGCCAAATTTTATGCTGAGCATTTTTGCAGTTGACAACTTGCTGATAGCTGTTACGGTTCGCGAGATATACGCGCCTAAAGTTTTGGGGAGACGCAGAGAAGCGAGAGTGATCGTCTCCGCGGCGCGCCGACTTTAAAGGCGCATATCTCAAAAACCGTAATAGCTACGGTAATTTTGTTTACTAGATAAATGTGTGAAATTGTATGCTGAGCAATTTTATAGTTGTCACTTTTTTACTATCTTTGCTAGTTTTTGAGATAATTTGATTTTTTTCAGACTCTCTCTGCAGCCACCATGACAATGTTCATAACGGCGTCGTACTCGGTGGAATCGGTGATGATTGCACTGCTCATCACTACTGGATGTAGTGCGTCGATTATACTTTTTGCGGCGACTACAAAGAAAGATTTGACTTCGTAAGAACATTTTTTTAAAGGTTTTTAAAAAGTTCAAAAATTGAAATTGCCGAATTTCGTCCTATTTTTGCCCATTTTTGGCCAATTTTGGACTATTTTGACTAAATTTTAAAAACAATTTCAGATGTCTCGGCGTCGCCTTTATTCTTGGTATCTGCCTTTTCTTTTTTGGCCTCATGACATGCATTTTTGTGCTGATTTTCCATTGGGTCTTCCTTCATATCGTTTACTCGGCTCTCGGAGCACTACTGTGCATGTTCTACTTGGCAATTGATGTGCAGGTACAGTAATACCCTTTTTTTGAGCATTTATGGATCCAATTTTGACCCATTTTTTTTTCAAAATTTCAAAAATTTTCAGCTAATCATGGGCGGCCGTCGTGTGGAAATCTCCCCAGAAGAGTACATTTTCGCTGCCACACATGTATTCGTCGACATTTTGACAATGTTCTTCCATATTCTGGGCATTGTAGGACGGAATTAGTCAGAGAACTCAGAATTCTAGAGAAAAAGAAGATTTTAAAATTTAAATATCGTTTTTTAAAAAATCTTTTTAAAGGTGGGGGGACATGAAAAAAAGATTGTTCTCGAAATTTCGTTTAAATATGCCTCTCGAGGAGTTGAACGTGTGGGACGATGATTGAGGGTGCGGCGCCGCTACCGACTGAGCTACACGGGCAAAGAGAAAGCGGTCACCCGATTGCATACATAAAGGCGAGGACGACAGCTGTAGGCAGAGTGACATTAAGCGTTGTACACCGTGACGGTAGAATCTTACCTCTGGC